TTCGCGGGCTTTGTTATGCGCATGGAGGACAGCCGCCTCCCCAAGCGCATGCTGTTAGGAGAGATGGCGAGGGGCGTGGGATACCGGGGCGGGCAGGAGAGCGACTGGGTGTCTCGTCTAGGAGAGGACCTCGTGGCCTTCAACATGGGAGACGAAAAGGAAGGGGGGAAATGGAAAGAGAGCGCCAAGGACTCGGAGGTGTGGTACAACAAGGTCGAGGACGGGGCGGCATGGTTCATGAGGAAATGGCACAGGCAGGAGGCGGAAGCGTCCGCGAAGCGCTAGCGCGCGAGGGAAGCAGAAGCAGGGAGTATGGCCATCTCAGGACCGAAGAGAAAGAGAGCCGGGGAAGCGGCGGTGGGGGGGAAGAAACGGCGACCGGGCACTGCTGTAGAAGCGAGTAGGGCGGCCGAGGCAGCACTTGTGGCGAACTATGTACCCGGCTGATGTTGTTGCGCACTGTTTCCTTCCCTGCTGTATGCTATACTCTTTTTTGAGTGTCCTTTGTATTGCCTTCGGCCCTGTGCTGTTTCTTTTTTTCATTACCTCCCTGCCTACTCTGCTGTGTTGGGTACCTTGATCTCGCTTTGCTGTTGCCTTTGTTGTTGTACGTCTGGCTGTCTGCCCATCTGCCGCCTCTTTGTCCTGTTTGCTCCGTTACTCCCATGCCCTGGTGCGTGGTGCCTGGTGCTGGTACCATTCCCTTTGTTTTTTTCTTTGGGCGGGTGTGGGAAGCGTCCTCCTTTATTTTTGTTTTTGTTTTATTTTGATCGGTTTCCGAGGGCTCTTTTCTCAAACGGTCGGTGCGGCTTTTCTGTCTATCATTTTGTTTTCTTTTTCCGAGTGGTTTGTACCCTATTTTTGTTTTGTTTTCCCGCGGGGTCGTATGTGCCGGGTTTCGAGACCATGGGCTCCCCATTTTTTGTGGAATATAGAGCTAATGTGAGAAACAGCAACAACAACAACCCTGTATCTCATGGTTCGCTCACGTGTGGCACTCTAACCTAGAGCAGCTGCTCCGCGGTGAAGGCTTCGGCTTCGTCGCTGTTGGCGCAGGATCCCGTAGCACCGTCGTATGNCGACCCCACCAACAACAAATAACAGCAAGCGGACACTGGGCACACCCTGTTTGACATGTCTAACCGGGTACACCCTGTATCTCATGGTTTGCTCACGTGTGGCACTCCAACCTAGAGCAGCTGCTCCGCGGTGAAGGCTTCGGGTTAGTCGCTGTTGGCGCAGGATTCTGTAGCACAGTCGTCACTACCCGGTTTTGGTTCGCAGCGATGCATACCGACAGCGTGGTGTTTACAGCACTATCCGCTGCAGGCAAGCGAATCACGCTCACGGGTACATGCCGCGGAGCTCCTCGTCCCCTACCGCCCCCTAATCCGGCGACCAAACCCGTACCCCTTCATACCCGGTTGGCTGGTGGCATCGCCCGTGTGTTCCTTGAGCAGCTGGTTAGATGGAACGGCGCAACGGTGACAATTGTAGGCAATTGGGAGGTCGGATTTACTTTCGAGACACACGTTGCGAGCGANGTACCCCTTGATACCCGGTTGGCTGGTGGCACCGCCCGTGTTTTCCTTGAGCAGCTGGTTAGATGGAACGGCGCAACGGTGACAATTGTAGGCAATTGGGAGGTCGGATTTACTTTCGAGACACACGTTGCGAGCGAGAGGCTGACATAGGTAACGTGTCCCGTGCACGGGTTTGCGAGGGTTTTGGGGGTCGAAACCACAACCTCAATCTTCATCTCTAGGTCGCGGCGAAAACATGACGCAAGAAGGGAAGACCGACCTGCTCGAAAGAGGGAGACGACATATGACACAATAAAGGATCAGGCTCACCTTCTGCACTCGCACCACGTCTTGATGCTATGTGGCACTCGCAGCACTTCTGTTGGAGATCCTTGTTGAACCCGTGGTAGCAGCGCGCCCTGCACGCCCATCGCGGGCACCTATCCTCCTGTATCCTCCAGGCAGAGTCGCTTTTTCTGGTTTCCGTACAAAGGCAATGCACCACACGCGGAGCACCGGCGGTTTAGTGTGGTCCTTGTCCGCGCAGGTCTGCCGACTACTCTGCCACCGCTGGTACTAAGGGCACCAACTCCCGTTCCTGGTGAGGGTTGCACACCGCCCCGCACAGGGACTCAGCCGCCGACACCACCCCTCGCGCGGCCGCTCACTGCAGCAGCGGGACCTGCCCCCCCTGCTTGGCTACCGCCCCACCGAAGAACGTGACCGCCGACGCTGACGCCGACACCACTGCCTCTACCACCGCTCAGAGGGCTCACAGCAGACCCACTTTCTTGGATACCAGNGTTGGCGTTAAGGGCACCAACTCCCGTTCCTGGTGAGGGTTGCACACCGCCCCGCACAGGGACTCAGCCGCCGACACCACCCCTCGCGCGGCCGCTCACTGCAGCAGCGGGACCTGCCCCCCCTGCTTGGCTACCGCCCCACCGAAGAACGTGACCGCCGACGCTGACGCCGACACCACTGCCTCTACCACCGCTCAGAGGGCTCACAGCAGACCCACTTTCTTGGATACCAGCCCCACAGGACCTGGACCCCAAGCTGCGCAAGATAGAGCAGATAGCGTGTCCTGCTGCATGAGTCCCACACCGCTCGCTGTTGTTCTTGGAGCAGGCAGAGGAGGTGCTGATGTTTCACTGGATCCTGGCTGCTGTGCTAAACTGACGTTGCTACGGTGGTTGACCGTCCCTCCTTGCACGAGTCCCACACCGCTCGCTGTTGTTCTTGGAGCAGGCAGAGGAGTTGTTGATGCTTCACTGGATCCTGGCTGCTGTGCTACATTGGCCAGAGTGCCAGACACAAGTTCGGCGCTACGGTGGTGGACCATCCCTCCTTGCACGAGTCCCACACCGCTCGCTGTTGTTCTTGGAGAAGGCAGAGGAGGTGCTGACACTTTTCTGGGTCCTGGCTGCTGTAAACTGGCAGCCAGACACAAGTTCGGCGCTACGGTGGTGGACCATCCCTCCTTGCACGAGTCCCACACCGCTCGCTGTTGTTCTTGGAGCAGGCAGAGGAGTTGTTGATGCTTCACTGGATCCTGGCTGCTGTGCTACATTGGCCAGAGTGCCAGACGCAAGTTCGGCGCTACGGTGGTGGACCATCCCTCCTTGCACGAGTCCCACACCGCTCGCTGTTGTTCTTGGAGAAGGCAGAGGAGGTGCTGACACTTCACTGGGTCCTGGCTGCTGTAAACTGGCAGCCAGACACAAGTTCAGCGCTAAGGTGGTGGACCATCCCTCCTTGCACAAGTCCCACACCGCTCGCTGTTGTTCTTGGAGCAGGCAGAGGAGGTGCTGATAACGGGCAGTGCTAGACACAAGTTCGCGCTACGGTGGTTGACCGTCCCTCCGTGCACGGGTCCCACACCGCGCCCTGTTGTTCTTGGAGCAGGCAGAGGAGGTGCTGATAACGGGCAGTGCTAGACACAAGTTCGCGCTACGGTGGTTGACCGTCCCTCCGTGCACGGGTCCCACACCGCGCCCTGTTGTTCTTGGAGCAGGCAGAGGAGGTGCTGATAACGGGCAGTGCTAGACACAAGTTCGCGCTACGGTGGTTGACCGTCCCTCCGTGCACGGGTCCCACACCGCGCCCTGTTGTTCTTGGAGCAGACAGAGGAGTTGCTGATGCTTCACTGGATCCTGGCTGCTGTGCTACATTGGAAGTGCTAGACGCCAGTTCAACAACAACAACAACAACAACAACAACAACAACAACAATACGCTTGCAGTGCCATTTTTTTTCTCTCCGTTTTGGCCGGTCGCCGTACCTACCTCTCCCTCCCTCTCTCTCCCCCCCCCCGGGCCCCCCCGCCTGTGCCTGCGCTTGGCCCATAGACTATGACTCTCGCAACCACAGTCTTTTTTCATCGCTGCCAGCTCTAGGAGGTGGACGCAATGGCCGCAGAATTCGCCAACGTGGCGAGGCTCTTGCAAGCCACAATCAAGGAGGCGGAGGAACGCTGCGTGTCCTTCGAACACGCTTCGATCGGGATGAAAGACGTGATGGCCGGCGGGGCCGCATGGACCCAGAAGGGGCGAGGAGACGCCGCCATCGCCGCCGCTCGTTGGTGGTGGGCAGAGGTGCGGGTTTCTGGAGAGTGCTTGCGCGGAGGGTGGTGCACAGCAGCAGCATGGTAGGCAATGCGTTACGCTCCGAAAACTCTCGTTTGAAACGTGTGAAACGTGTGAAACGTGTGAAGAATTAGGCCACGGCCTGTTCAAATTTCAAATTTTGCAAAAAAATACAAGCGGTTGCAACGTGCAACGCTGCATTTTCAGATGGGAAACGCATTTGTGCAACACTTTTTTGCTTTTTGCTTCTTGGTCGCGTATCAGTTGAGGTGTCCGCACCACTGCTCTGCATGATGTGCTTATCATGTCCTTCACTGCTGATGGTCTAGGCTGTGGATGCCATCATTATGGCCTCAACGAGCCGAGAGGGGCTACAGCAGGAAGTGCCGTCATCCAAGCAAATTCTCTGCCTCGATTGGGAAAGTTGCGGCTCGTGTGCGTAGAAACAACATACAAGTAGGGCTAGGTCCAGCAAGTTGTCGAGGGGACGTGCAGCGTTTCCTGTGAAGGCATAGTGTTGCGACGTAACGAAGGGTTTCTCCCCGATATTGTTGTCGTTGACCCGGCAGATATGGTAGAGAAGACGATTATATGATTATTATTAGCAGCCGCTGCAGCTTGTCTTGTTTTTCATGTCGGCATCATTTCCGTGTTAACCCGAAACCACGATACAGCAGCAAGTTTTGGGCGGTAACTGGCCACGGCACGCTCAATTGGGTAACTGGCCACCACGGCACAGCAGAACAGTAATTTTTGGGCAGTAACTGGCCGCTACGGTAATGTACAGAATCTGCATTAATGTACAGAAATGTGCAGTTTTTTCATGGTAACCGGTACCCACGGCAGTAGTTCTTTTTTGTACGGTAGTCACCACAGAAATGCACGGAAGTGTGCTATTTTTCTTTGTTACCGTAAATTTTCACCACTGTGCAAGCAAGGCAAAGTCGTCACACCACGTCGGGCACTGTTTCGTCTGCTTGCTTTCAAGTGTTCCTTACGCGGTCACCGCACAACAAACGTGCGCGATACGTTCACCGAGCGTAACGTCCGTCAACCAAATTTGAAACCGGTCGCATGGAAAGATGGGTGAAAACCAGACGGCATGTAAACTATCCACATTGTTGCAGGCAGGCTCTCGTGGCCTCTAGACGACGACGTAAGTCCAGCGCTGCGCTAAGCAAGTGGTCATCAGCAGAAAGGGCATCAAGCAACAAACAAGCGCCGACTTCCTAGTTCACGGGGAAACGGTAATCGCTGCAAGTGCATACCGATTTGCCTAGAGGGGCACATGAGCATTTACTGTGGCGTACAAAAATGTACTTGGTGTTTCTATGCCGTTGATGGGATGTTAATGTTCTTTCGGTCATGTACTCCACGGTAACTCGAAAGCACGTAAAATGCGATCTTTGCCCGGTAGTTTTTTGTAACGGGTATGGGGCAATTCATTACAGCACCGCATGTGCGGGATGGGAGAGGAGAGGTTGCCGAGAATTGTATGGGAGGCAAAGTGGGCAAACAAAAACAGGGGTAGACAACCCACGGAATGGGTCAAGGTTGTAGAGGACGTATGGAAGGGGATCGACATCGACGAACATGAAACGCTGGAAACGGAGGGTCTACAGGGGTTCAAGGAGAAGATATCTGTTGCTTGTGCCGAGAGAGAAGAACAGAATCTAAGGAAAGAATCCAAGGATAAGGAGGGTCTAGAAGTGTACGGAATGTTGAAGGAAGGAATAGGGTTCAAGGACTACCTACATGGACCAATGGATGCAGGAACAAAGCTTAAGGTCAAATTCAGGACCGGGGATATAGGCCTTCGAGAACGTCGACGAAGACATAGGGCGGTAGGCGAGGAAGACGACGAGTTCAAATGTGATTGCGGCTTCGAATGCGAAGACCGTGTTCAT